ATATCTTTGCTATGTGGTCTCTGTGGTAAAAAATACTAATCTCGGTAATGCAGACCAGAGGAGATGAAAAGTTCTGTTGCATTATTTTTTGAATTTTTGCTCTTACATGTGAGAGGCAGAGTGAAAGTGATTGGATATTGTCTTTTTGTTCAATATGATTAAAAATAGTCCCATGAAAATTTTCAAATTTTGAATCTGTAAGCCACCAAAATAAATATTTAATTCTGTATAAATCTTTATACATGATACGTTCCAGAAATGAGACTCCTACATATTTTGGGTAGGAGGCTACTGGCATATATTTTTCAATGTTCATATTACTTAGAATCTCTAATAGGAAGTTTTCATTTGAAATAGCTGAATCAGTGATCTAGTACTTTCTTATCAGCAGGACCTTTTAGGTTTTTACCCTTTCGAAAATAAGCTCCATTCCATCTGCAAATTGTTGCAATGTTATAGCAATCAGACACTATATATGGAATGTAATATAGGCCTGTTGATCCCCATTTATCTTGAGACCAGTAAATACCACCTTTCTTCCTTTTTAAATGACACATATTTAAACATTTAGAAAATAAAGTCAAAACTTATTGAAGTGCTAGAACTAAAAGGAAGCAGGTTGGAAAATATAGCCTAGCATTTATAACAAGATTAACTTGTTGAACTTCTTCTGTAAGTGACTTTGCAAAGAAAAAATTTTAATAGACACTGAAAAAGATTGTTGTGCATAGTTATTAGTCATGTGTAACTTTGCTTAAGTATTTCTTAATTCAACATAGATATTTTCTTTCTCCTTAACAATGTATTTTTAAAAATAGTCTATTTCTTGACTTCAAACTTAAAGCTTTAATCGTAATTTCTCATGTATACATCATTCTTCCGATGGTAAACTAGATTTGAAGATAATGGTTTCAGTGTTTCTAAAGTTGGTAGCTGAGGGTATCAGGCATCAGTATTTGCAATAATACAAGGAGAAAGAAAAAGTAATCTGTTGCTTACTGAGGCTTAGAATGATGTACATCTGTTTTCTGTTCTGTGAGTCTATATTGTCAAAAACCATTTTGTAAACTAATCCTTGGAAAATTTTAAATTACCTTATAACTCAAGACTCGGCAATCTCTGGATTCACAATATCTGTTTCCTTTCTGTGTAGATGTTGATACCATTACTCTTTGGCTATAGGTGCATTCTGAAATATTTTCAGTAGAAATTTGAGTTTCATTAATGCTATTTCACCAGTTAGACATAATTACTCTACAAGTGTGTGATACTGATGCCATCAGGGCTTCCAGACTTTTTAGACTTAAGTGCTAGGTAAATTAGTTTGTCATCATAAAACTTCGTATTTCCTACGGGCTATTATGTCAAACCAGGAATTCTATAATGGAACACTATCCATTCTGAGTAATATGGATATTATTTTTTGCTTCTGCTGTGCTTTATGTAAATTCTGAGTCTTGAGATTTAAACTGTGCCTACCAAGATATCTTCTGGAGTTTGGGGGGAGGAAAACCAGAAAATTAAATGGTATTTTTGCCAGAAGACTCTTACTTGCATGTATATCAGGGTCTTCAGTTTTTCTAGACGTTTATTTGAAGTTTGGAATTCCATGTGGAATATTCTAGTAAAGGGTTAACACCCTTTACTCCCAGTATTTATTAGGTTGGAAATCTGCAGCAAGACATTGTATAAAACTTATCGTGGGTTTTCTTATTTTATCCTTAGTTTTCTGGCTATTGAACTTCACTTTTTCTTTCAAGTTTGCATCAAATTTGGTTCTGTGATAAATTATCCATAAATATTCTAGATAGGAACTATTTGAAATAGCAGTTTGTTAAGATGACAGAAAGTGAACTGCTCAAACTAAGTGAAGATGTTTAAATGATCATTATCATTTTGGTGGTAATTATTCCCCACATGCAACTACTATGAGGAATTAATGCTGCAGTGTTTCCTATTGTACCAAAAAAGATAAAACAAATGGTAAAAATGACCCAAGGTATTTTGTATGGTCAAGGCATGCATATTCTAAAAAATTAATTGCTATTCAATAGCACTGGCTTCCTCACCTCTGTCAATCATATGAAACCTTGTTCATTTTCACCTAATGCTGTAATATTCATACTTGTACAATCTTCCCTATCATGACTTTTAAGTTCTACATTTCAACTGTTACCTGATATTAGTTCGTAGAGATTCATATGGCAAAAATAAAATGTTTTGTGATTTTTGAGTGCATTTTTTTTACAAGACTATCTGTCAGAAGTTATATAGACCTTTATATTCTGTTGTTTTTTCAATTTTTTGTAGCAGGAGATTGGAGCTACTTATCTGATGACAGCAAGATAGAATTCTTCATTAGGTTTTATACGCTGGTTATTTGCATGCCCAATGTATCTTGAACCCTGATAGTCAAAAGTGAGTCGGCTGCTGTCTATCACTTTTGAGCAACAATTTTCAACCTTTTTCATCTCATGCCACACATAAACTAATTACTAAAATTCTGTGCCACACCAAAAAACATCTATTTTTTTGCCAATATAACAAAAAAAATAGGCATAATTTTGGTTCATTCACACTGGACAGGTAGTGTGTTAGCTCTTGTCAGGTTTTTTTTATTTGACAATCTAAGGGAAAAGAGGTCAGTGTCCCTGACTAAATAGGTACTGCGTGTTTTAAAAATTCTTGTGGCACACGGGTTGAAAAATCACTGCTTTAGAACATATGTGACAACCTTTGTAGTTTCCATGAAGACGTATGTAAGTGGATAAGGAGGAGGAAAATTTTATTATTTTGAAACATCACAAAAGCAGTCTGGATTTCCAACATGGCAGTGATAAAGATTTTAAGCAACATCCAGTTTATAGGTTCTGGATTAATGTTTTAATATTTCATGCCCAGTTCAATACTTCAAAGCAGAATTAGGAATAAAGCAGTAAAGATTACAAAATGCAGTCAAGGTACATATTGGAAATACAAATTCCTTCATTACAGCAAATGTTTTGCAAAATAGTAAAGCAGCAAATATTAATTTTTCTAAGGTAACATACACTTCATGTAATTTGATGTAATAAAAAAGAAGCTGCTCAAATTAAGTGTTACAAAATCTGTACTGTTTCAAGTTATTTCGTAAAGTAAGAAAAATACATAGAAATGAGTCAGAATTTTAACACTTTAAGAAATGTGATAAATGTAGGATATATTGTGTAATGGTGCCTTTAAAAAATTAGATACAGATTCACTAAAGCAAAAGGTAAAGTGTAAACAGCAAAATATTTAATTGAATATTACAAGTTGATACTTGTAAGTCAATTGGTTATTAGTCCCTTTTGAAATCCAATAGAATTTTAATGTGCTCAGAACTATAGAAAATAATAGTAATTTTATATAACACAAAAAGATTATAGTTTTTCAGATTTGAAATCTGGATGAGACATCATTCATGGTGCTGAAAATTAAACTGTGTGTCTTGCAAACATTTACTGTGAACAGTGAGTGCACTTGTTGTGCCTTGATAATTCTTGATGGCTGGGTGTCTGCAAGGTAGATGGGAGCACCAGCATTTGCCTGCTAACTCTAATCCATCAAGTCAGGAGGTAGCTAAATTGGCTGGAAAATTTTCCAGTATGTTCTGTTTGCAGAACTGTCTAATTAGGTACCCTCCTATAGCCTCTGTATTTTTACATGATACAAGTCTAGGGTTATCGATCTTTTTTTTTTTAAATCAATCCTCAGGTTAACATAAGATTGCAATAGAAGTGTTCATTTTGAAGTGAAGGCATGAGTGCCAAAGTGTTAAATCCATCAGGTTGATGGTTTAAAGCTATGCCTAATTAAAAGAACTGCATAAATACCTACCACAATGTGCCAGATGGATTTTTAATCAACAATAACACAATAATTTGTCAAGTTGGCTACATTTGAGGTTTTGCAGATTTAAAGCAGCATTGTAACACTTTCATAATCTTGAACACTGTCATAATTGGTCTCAACAGAAACGGGACCAATAAGAGCGGTGGCATTAAAACACAGATGATCTTTTGGGGTAGAGTGCAGGATACGTGCGGTTTGCTAGGGTTGAAGCACAATATTTGAAGATTAAATAGTCACAAAGATTAGTAACAATTCATGTCATGAACCAAGATTCTAATCTAGCATTTTAATTTTGAATTTAACCATAAGATTTATATCTGTAGCAAAAGTTTTTTGTGATACTGCAACATGTAGTAGAACCACCGTCTCCTAAGTTATCAGATGTATAACAGATCTCCTTAAAACAACTCACATGTTGCTCTCTGTATTTCAGTGCTTCCAGAACAATCAACCCTGTTTCCCGCTACTTGAATGGATATTGCACTTTTCCCTTTGGGAGGTACCAACAACAAAAGCTGAGCTGAATGCTCACGACAGCCATTTTTATAATACTCATAGAGAAGGAAAAGTTATGGGCAGCTTTTTACAACATCCAGACACAAGTAAACTAAGTCCTAGTCAGAACTCTCTGCATTGGAACTACTG